CAGTCATCACATTCAACAATAGGAAGTGACCAAAGTGGTGGAGAAAGTGAACGAGTCCAGCTGAAATTCATCTCTTTAGCCTTCTGTGAAGACAACACACCTGTTCCTCTATGTTCCTCTATGTCCACCTGGATGAAGAAAGACAACCAAGCGATGACGTGCCCAAAGTCCACATGTCGGTGAAGCTGATAGATGCCCAACTCACGAAGGACAGCCATCATTCCTCGCAGGAACAAAGACATCAACCAAGAACCAATTCTTAAGAAATTGACCAAACAATTCACATAAATTCATATAAATTCACTAGATCTGTGTTGCGCAAAGCGTCATAACAAGCCAGATTTTGCTATGTTTGTCCAAGCTTTTCTTGTGGTTTGCCTCTTCTCTCTTTCTTTGGTTTCTTGTTGCTGGAGCGTGGACGAAAGATGACGAAAGGAAGTTGACAAACCTGCCTCTCTTAGTGCTTGGAGCATTTACTTCGCATCAACATTCAATCATCTTTCAAGCAGCTTCGTGCGCGAAACTTGCAACACTGTGCGCGTCTAAACCGCATGCTTCATCTCCTACAAAGGTCCAGGAGAACTGTAGAATCCGAGTGACACCACGCAAGACCTGGGGAGACGACCACATCCAAGCGACTCAGGTCAGCCGATGCCCGACAATCACTCTGACTGGCAATCGGTGTCCAAACAACATAAGGACTTATTAAGAGCCAAATTCTTCACAGCTTCCTGAAGGTTCGGGATAACATGATTGACACTTCCATACATTTGATCAGTCTACAAGAGTCTGCCCAAAAGTGTGGGTCTATGTCAACGAACTACCTCCCAACCAAAAACCCTTCTTCCGAACACCTTCTCTTTCGTTCTCCCATTAAGTGCCTCTCGACGCAGGTCCGCAGTGACGCCCGTCCGCACCTTGCCCGTCCGTCTAGGTCGGGGCCCCCGGACTTGCCATGGGAGGCGCTCCGGGACGAAGTGCTTGGCATGTGGCCCTGCGAGGTGATGCACTCGACCTCAGAGACGAGAGGGGGAGAGGGCGATGAGGGCGAGGAGGGCGAGGGCGTGAAGGGGCGTAAAGGGGCCTTTGTGGTTCGTCTGTCATGAGCCCCTTGGCCCTGGGGATCTGGCCTTTTTTTGCGGTGTTGGGAAGGGTGAGAATCAGTGAGGCAGGTGAGGACATGGACAATCAAGCTGCCTGCCAGTACGCAGACCTTCTGTTTTGTGTGTTTTTTGGGGTTTCTTCCAACTCGGATGGAACAGCTGAATAGTTGTGAGTCCCGTGCCCTCCGGCTCTCGTGGTGACTGTCTGTCCACGAGTCCGGCTGCTTCGTGCCCTTAGTAGCCTTAGTGATTCTCCAGGTCCCAAGATCCATTTTTGCATGGCATGATCGAGGTCCCGAAGAGTGTGCACTTCTTCGGCTCTGGCACCAGACCTGTTGACCGAGCGCTCTGGACAGAGTCTTGGACTGAACATGACACTTTTTGTTACTTCCCTTTCGCTAACGGCGAAAGAGAGGTTTCTTCTTCTTTTTTTTTCCTCAACAAACCACGCACCACCTGCGACACCTGGAACGTCGTCCCGACCAGCGCGCGCGATAATTCCCGCAATCTTCCTCCTGGGAGGCTCCACCCTCCCCGGAGGTTTGCCTCTCGACCTGGCGATCGCCGAACCCAAACGCGATCGACTCGCGTTCGACTCGCGGCGATGCTGTCCCGACTGATTGTAAGACCTAAAACGAGGTCTCGCAGTTTGGGTTCGGAAGACATCGAAACGGACGAAAAAGAACACGTTTCGATGGTGGGCAAATAACAACAAAGATCAACAAAAGACCTCGAAACGAACGCTGGGACCGCCGATCGTCCTGATGCCTATTCTCGTCGGCCATGGATCCAATACAGATGTTTACTCTTCGATGCTTTGCACCTGTCCTTCCTCATCCGAAGATACGTCCAAACCGAACTCGTCTCAGATCCCAATCCGATGCCACACCCCACCGCTCCCCCAACCGAACTCCCCGAACTCCAGCGGAAACGCCACACGAACCCACCAGCGGTGTCGCCAGCTCGATGCCGTTGGAACCCGGTCCAGTACCGCAGACCGCCTGCGCCAGCCTGGATCGGGCGTGGAAGAGGGCCATGGCGAGGGGCGAACTGTGATGAAGACACACGTATGTTCAAGTGCTGAACTATCCCTAGGGCTCCAACCACCTCCTGAGAAGGTGGTAGTATAGTCAAAAGGGCGAGTTTAGAGAGTCAACGTATAGACTCTGGACATCTCTGCACTAGTATGGTGTTTTCACTGTTCATAGCCAGTCTACGTAGAGTTCGGAGCCCGAAACGAAAGCCACCAGCCCGTTTGAGGGGAGGCAGCCGTCAGGAGCACAAAAAATTGCATCAGAACTCTAAACCTTCGGAGCTTCCATTGCTGCTCACCTCTTAAACAAGACTAAGTCAGGAGGTTTTTGACTGTGCTCAGTAAACCTGTGCCGAACTGTGCCCAAAAACAGCTGCTTCGATGAACATTCCCGTAGTCCCGGCGTGCGAGACTCTGCCTCGATCGCCACACAGCACAAATCCTCCATGGCACCGCGAAAACACCTGCCGCCCATGGGTGTTTCATTGCATGTTCCAACGACGAAACACCAATGACCCAGAACAAATGAACCCTCGCACATGTGTGGGTTCCTAGCTCTGTGTGAGCCAACAATGTTGAGGAGCCACATGGCTCGTTCTGTCTGTGCTCAAGGCCTCATGAACGACAGACCTGCGGATGGGCCGAGATGGGCTCTCTGGCTCCGCCTCGTAGCATGGTCTCCAGATCTGCTTGACCTGACGACATCATATCAGTGTGTGGGGTGTACACTTTGAACACATAACATATTCCAAATGCTTTCACCAAAGAGCTCTATAGGACCAGGAGTAGAGAATCAATGGCATATAAGGAGAATTCTGTATGAAACAACTGTCAGATCAACTCAGTCTATTGATCATGCGTTTAGCTGCGAATGGGAGTGACCCAGTGACACACACCATGCTGCTTGCGGTGCCTCGTCCATCCGGCAGATCGTCCTCCTGCACTTGGGTGTCTTACGGTGTCTTAGGAAACCTCAAACAGGATTCAGTGCTTGAATTCGGAATTAGGGTTCAAAACATGTTCGAATGAGGAATTAGATGATGGAATTAGGACACCTCGACCTAAAAAACACTCTGTTCAAGTTCATGTTCGTTTCACATAGCACTGACCACTCAAGACCGCACTGACCACTCTTACTCGACTTTGCAAGGTGATTTGCCATATAAATCAAAGCCTTTGCGACAATGTCAAAACCACGTAATGGAAGGGATAATCAAATTGAACGACATCCAACGATAGTCTCAGCAGTCGACTTCTGTCCTGGGCCAATGCTGTGGTGCTTTCTGACATGGCAAGTAATAGCCGCATGGCCGCCTGCATTGAGTGCCCATGCAGAACCAAACCGGGCACTTCGGATGAGGCGACAGGAACGCTGTAACACAGTATCATCACATCATATCGCATGACCCCCCATGACATGTAGCCTGCAAACAATCCAAACTTGCGACAGTGATCTTTCCCAGAGTTTGAAATTTGATATCAATGGTCAATGGCACTATAGAGCCTGCAGGCCTACCTTAAGCCCGGTAGCCCAAACTTTTGTGTGCAATGAAAACATGCCTCAAGCCTGTCAGGTTCAATGTCATCAAAGACCCAACACTCATGCTGCATGCTTTTCTCTGCGCCAAGACATGTTGCCTTCATGTCTTCGCATGAAGCCGCTGTGTGGCCAACCAAAGCTTGTTGATAATGCTGCTGCGGGTAGATCACAATGTGGTATCAAGCAGAATCGAAAGCTCTTCTTGATGCATGCTGGCAATTGGCACAAAAGAAACTGTAGAACCCACTGTCTCGTTCATAAGATTTTGCCACACGATGGCGAGAAAACCACGAACCGTCCTTTTCTTGCAGTGTTTTGTCACTCATCTTCTCCCGGACCTTCCCATCGTTCAGCTTGTCGATTATAATTGTGGTGTAGTTCCCATGACCATCCTTCTGGTGCTCCACTTTCCTGACAAAACGTCCATCTGTCTCCACATGTGTGCCAGCTGCACATTGAGCTACTAGTCGATGAACTGGATGATCTTCGTCTTGATCCCATGATTGATCCCATGACAAGAGATGGTGAATGACATACTACGTGTGACCCACCTCTTGAGTCCTTGAGCCGAAAGGGCCGTCATGTCCAAGCATGTACATTGGGTGTTCAGGTGATTCTGTGTTTAGTCCATCGCAATAAAGCCATATGAGTAAGATGTTCCTCCTTGGATCAATACCAAGGAGGGCTGCTTGCTCAGGAGAATGGGCAGCTTGCCAGAACTCAGCTACCACGTATGGCCTCCAAACCACGTATGGCCGCAGCCACCGATGGCAAGGACAGCACCAAGCGGTTGCCTCTCAATGTCAGAGGTACATCAAAAGTGCGTGGTACCACCCAGAACCTACAGGTGTGTTGGTATTTCCGCCCATGGCCGAGGCCTTGTGCTTCCCGATGCCATGACCAAATCAGATTTCGAGCAGAATGTTGCTGAGAAAACGAAGAACCCCAATAATAATCAAAAACAAAACCGAGCGGGACATGGAATAGCCTGCACGAAGCAAACAGTGTTGAAATTGGGATTCCAAGACTATCTTACGCACGAATCTCCCACAAACAGCTTACGCAACCTTACACACATCAGTGTTTTGCTTACGCGGAACATTCATATGACAATCACACCACTAAACATGAACAGGGAGGTTTATAGAGTGGCTCAAGTGGCTAGAACAATCTTGGATGTCATGACTCCAACTGGATATCCCCCTCTCTCCTTGGTATGCTTCTGACAACACCACGGCCGCCACAGCACGATTTCTTCTCAAGACAAAGCACAGGGCCCGACGGCGCCCTCCACTTCTCTCGCCTGGGGACTCCCAAACATAGGTCACCTTCCTCATTTTGCCACGGACTAACTGGCTGTGGAAGCCCCTCCACAAGACCGAAGAAATTGCATCGAAAAACTCGTTGCAATGCAATGCTGGAACCCATGACCTAAGAAAACGTATTTTGTTTCGTCCTGACAGGTGTCGACACAAGGGCAGTCGTCGATCCCGTTTTTTTTGAGGGCGATCGTGAAGGCGTTCACGAGTTGAGGACCGATCCAGAGGATCCAAACACTGCTCTTTCCCCTTCCAAGCATCTCTGGATCATACCAGTAGGTGGACGACTCATAGCCCATGTCATGCTCAAAGGGACCCACCCTCAGCGGAGGTGGTCGCTCTGGGTAGATCTGTCCATGCAGTTTGCCGCCAAACGACCCCCAATGCTTTGCTCTTGTTCAATGCCAGATTTGTAAACCTTCCGAAAGATCTGTGAATCTTCCAAACACAACCCACAAGAGGCCAAGAATGAGGTCAACTAGCCGCCTAGCCCAAACTTCAGGTAGGCCAGGGCTTAAGAAAAGCGCAACGTGGAAAGGCCTAATTTACTGATATACTCCGCGAGTAACATCCAGACCTGATTGATGATTGACTTCACACTGCTTAGAAACTTCTCTGCTAAGTTGAAGGCAAACAGCCTTGAAATGGATCTTCGTCCTGCAGAAGTACCAAAGCAGCAACAGTGGATGTGCAGTCGCATTAAACTCCACAAACGAGGTCGAAGTGGGCACCAAGAGGCTCTTTTACACCAGTATGAACCATTCACTCCCACAGGTTGAAAAAAGAGAATCGTCTCCTCCTGTTCGGGCAGAAGCTCACCCCAAGGCCTCCATAAGGCGCGGTCATGCGCGGTCTCTCATAAGGACACGAACTGAACACGAACTCAGCCACGCCAAGGAGTGGAAATTGATGAAAACGTCCAGGTGGTGATGAGAAAGGCATTGCATACTGTGTTGGGCCTCACATGGCACATGGCCGGTCGGGTGTGACGACAATAGTTTTTGACCTCTCCCAGTAAGTCAGTATGTGAAACAAAACACCACAGGCCTTGGCGAAAACGTCGACACTTCTCAGGTCTCTCTCCCACCGCCGAGTAGATCGACACTTCTCGGTCGCCACCAGTCGACCCACTGGCACTCCTGATCGAGTCATCGCCGAGCACGTCCGCCTCGTGGGGCCTCGGCCACTACGCAAACACAGGCGGCAGCAACGGGTTCAGGGGGAGAATTGGTTCGACCGCTCCTGACTTCAAAAGGTTCAAGTGAAGATGGCATCTCACTGGAACATTGGCCAAGAATACACCTATAGCCTATGGCAATGGCTATATAGCTCACCCCAACAAAAGGCCCCTTTGCTCCATGCCCTGGTCTGGTCTGGTCGGAGTTCTTTTTCTTCATCTGAGACCTCCGCAGGCCACGGGCCGCTGCTCTCCAGGCAAGCTCTCCTCAACATCGCTGAGGGGTGCCAACCATTGGGCCATTGGGGGGATGATTTCCACCTCAAGCCCATATTGGCCGCGGTATACATTGATTCTTCAGTCTCAATACTGAATAGGAGCAAGATCGCCAAGACCATGTGAAAGGTCACCAGTGACATGTCCTCCAGTCATCGTGGATCTCCAGTCATTTCGCCCGTCTGTGAGAAACGAGGCGAACCGTTTCTGCGTCTCCTTTCAAGGCGCGGCGCCAGATTTGAAGCTCAATCCGTATTCCTGGCAATGCGCCAGGCACGGCCCTTGCCAAACAAAGCGAGTTTGAAAACGCGAGGTGTTCTGACCTTCGTTGGTTAAGGGCCCCGTTCTCTTTCTGGAGCAAACAAGAATAAGATAAACAGCAAATGCATGGTGAAGACGTATCCTATGCCATATCCATGTGCTGCAAGAATTGAACCAATTTCATTGCACCAGCTCATTTGCAGCTCAATCTGCATGGGTCTCCGTCACTTCGTCAGTTGACAGTCTACCAACGAAGAGACGTGAAGACTTCACACCGAAGTCGGGCCAGTTCGACGTGTCAATTCCGCTGACTGCGTCTCGGAGAGAACCACTCGAGGCGCCGCCTCGGAGCCCGCAGGGCGATGGGTGAGATGAGGACGGCGATGGCGTGGGCTTTTTCGGGTTCATGCGGTACGCAAACGAGCCTGAAAATCCTAAAGCCACAAAACAGGATTGAACTCCAGAATTGTAAGTTGGTGCAAAGTGATCAATGGTGGAATATGATAAACTTGAATTCATGGAAGATCTGGAGACCAGCATTTAGGAAGGTGAACAATTCATCTGATGTTGTTAAATGCACATGCTGCCAACCTCAACTTTGCAGAAGAAACATTTCACTCTGACTTTCAAACAGCCAAGGATTTGGTGAAGTGAAAGTCAAGGACTGACAACCAATGAAGGTGTTCCGCTCAAAAATGATGTCAACCTTTGAACCCAACCTATGCAAGTATCTCTCGGTATGTCTCAGGAAAGAAGAGAGATCATATATCTCCCAACAGCGGCTGTTAGGAACATCGCCACAAATCTAATCTATCTGTGCCAGTGTCAGTGCCACAAACTTCCAACTTGCTCACAACTTGAGGCCCAAAAAAGAACCTGGAACCTTGTGCCGTGCACACCACCTCTTTCACTTGAGGTACTACAACGAAAGGACATACAACGAACCCCCCAAACGGAGACACCGAACCCGGTGAATCGCCACCGCACCGCACGCCGCCCCGGACGCCGGACGCCTCCCAGCGCTTCACCGCGGCGGCGGCCACGGCCAGGGCCGCCTCGGCGCCGGCGACGCGCTCGGCCGCCTGGAGGCGTTCCTGGCGGCGTGGAAGAAGGGTGCGAAAGGGAGGTGGGTTTTGAAGTGTTTTGGGATGGAGGAAAGGGTGGTCACTATCAAGTGCTTCTTAGATGCAACCACCCCAACTGGGTAGTAGAATGGATCAAAGAATTGGCCAAGCCAGCTGAGAGCCGCCGAACGGGCAACATAAGTTCAAAGATTTTGCTAGACATCATGGGAAGATATTGTAAGATTTGTAAGTAAGACATGTCCTGATATGTCAAACATGTCGATCAGCCAAAAATGAAGACCGCCACTTGGTCCAGATCACCCAGCATTGCTAAAGTAACAACACCCAAGGACCTGCAGGATTTAGCCTATTGTTGTCTATCCATCAGCAAACGCATCAGCGCCCAGACCCGCCGAGTTCGCGTCTCCTCCTCAAGGCCAAAGCCACTTGGAGTGGCTTGATTGGGTCGGATCCTTATGGAACCCGAACGCGGAGTCCAACCCACCAGGATGCATGCAGGAACAGGACAGAAACATCGGAGACATGAAGAGATGTTTGATGCGCTGGGGCCCGGGGGGGGTTTGCTGAAAATGACAACCAGTCCATACGTCGTCCTATGCTGGAAAGGAACAACCCCCAATCATTAACATGTACATCATAACACATCCTATAAGATTCTATAGGCAATCTTCACACCAAATGAATCCAAATGCTGAAATGATGTTCTACTGGATCAAATATGATCAAATGCGGTGTGACCTCCTGAGATCCTCTCTCTGCATCTGTTGGATCGACACCGTCACCGAAGACATCCAAGAAGAGCACCTCACATCCACAACCGAAGGGGAAAATCCGGAGTTCCTTCGACCTTCAAAGCCATTGGACGTAGCCAAAGTTGGTTCAGAACGAAATGATCGGACCAGGACCATCCGACCCGACCTGGGTGTCCTGGCTGGACTACCCCACACTACCGGCCGTTCGGCTTCCAGACAGGGCACCGCGACAGGATGGTCCAGGTACTGAGTTGAATTGAGTTGCCGTGATTCGACAAAGAATTCCTCGTAGATCGACGATTGAAAAGGTCGGATCTGTTGTGCAAGTAACAAGGATTAGGTTCTCAGTGCGGCACACATTTTTTGGGATATGCTGTCCTGCCGCTCCACATCCAACTCACTTATAAATTGGACTATCCTCATGCAGCGGGTGCTTTCGTTCAACTGGAAAGATCCTACAGATTCATTCACGACCGTCTATGCAAAGTCCAACGAAATCCAACAGGAATCCTTCAATCAAAATCAGTTCTACAATGAAGAAGCACACGCTTCAACCCCCATGAAACCCCCAACAGCTCATCGGATGCGATCCTACGAATCACTTCCAGTCCTTGACTTCGAATTTCCACGGTCACGCAGGAAGCGCCGAGCCGAGCTCCCCGGCCGTGCGGAAGCGCCGGGGCAGCGCCGCGTCATCTTGGCTGGGCTTGGCGACCCAAAGCAGCAGCCTGGCAGGAGCGAAGGTGGCGTGGCGCAAGGAGGGGGGGAGAGTGAGACACAGGTGTCATGAAGACGGTCAAAAAGGATCACCCACATCTGTGGCGCCATGCAACTTGTGTTATGGGTTGAAGGATGACATGTGCATGCTTTCTTCGTGATGATCTGACTTGATCTGGGGTCATGAAGAACATCATCGGATGAACCGACCATCTGGTGAATTGGATCGCCTGGACAACCCAACAACGTTCGCTGAAACTAGCTGGGCCAACTCCAGCCAGCAAGCTTGCAAGAAGAACATGGCCTGGGGCGCACTGTCAACTGCCAAGGAGGCTTGGAATGGGAGTGGCCGCATGGAGGCTATAACTATAACTACCGAAAAAGACAACGCTTTTCTACAATCTTGTGCCAATTTTGAGCCATATCCAAGCTGACAGGACTTCTAAGCATTTGGTCCATTCTGCCCAGACAGCCGGGAAAGCCGCGGCAGTGACTGCGCTGGCCAGAAAGCTCGGTCCGCTGAGGAATGCCACTGGAGAGGTGTAGTAGATTGCACCTGGTCCGCTGCTTTTGGCGCACCAGGAGATCCCCTGGCCCCCTGAGGCTGGATAGAAAAAGACTAGTCTAGTTTTGTGAGCTTCTTCTTGGGGTCAGAATGCCGGGTTTGGAGGTCGGTCTATTGTTCATAATTACATTCCAAAATGGAGACCTCCGCCAGTTCATCCCTGGCTTCTTGTTCATCTCACTTCTCTCAACAACCTCATTGGAACAGGATCCAACCATATCAAACCTTAGACTACTACAAGTAGGTTGTCGTCTAGCGCCCTAACCGTCGTCCTCGCTCTCAGGTCTCCACACTGAACAGCAAGAGTAGAAAGTAGGGTCTCCCCACTTGCTGACCATATCTCCCATCCATATCCTAGACGCTGGCCTGGACGCCTACTCCACCAGCATATCCCACCACCTGGATCATATCCCCTAGACCAATCTACAGACCTCACCATGCAGCGACCGGAGTAAAGAGCGAGCACCCCGCCGCCAACTCGGTCGTCTACAGTCCTCCGCACCTGGATCCAGGACTCCGGCTTCGTTGCGCTCGGCGCTGTGCACGGCCAGGGCCGCCAAGGTGGCCGGGAGAGTCCCCACGGCCTGGGCGGTAAAACGGCGGTGGGACGGTGGGGTCACGGGTCACTGCCAGTACTTGACAGCAGACTCAGCAGAGTCTGTTCTGAGACGTACTTTTATGTGTATATATAGACTCTATATATATATATAATATGTTGTCATCGACATCAATGTGAAATGGGTCATCCGTTTTTGTTGGATCCTCTTGTTCAAAGTCCGTTGTTTGTTTTCCTGAGTTCGTCAGCAACTGCTGAATAAGAAACTGGTTCTTTGGACAAACATGTTCGGTGTGGGATGGAGGTCCGCACTCCTCATCTCTAAGAGTCTAGAGTTTTCTTTGGCTGGCTCAAAGGAAGGAAATGCAAGGTACTCATCCAGCGACATTGCCAGTCTCAAACTGCAATCAAAAGCTGTCAAACATGTCCAGAAGGCAAAAGAAAAGCAACTTGCCTCCTCGTGTGTTTGGAGCTGGTACTGGGGCAACCCTCTTGTTGCGTGACTGAGGGTCACATGGTCACACAGGTCATGCTGTCTTTTGAGTCTCGCATCCCGGCTTTTCTGGCAAACCCAGCAATTGCCCAATTGCATTTGCAGAATCCCACATCATACATTCAGAGCAAGCTACAGGAATTTGCAAGGCGCATCAAGGCGCTACATTGTAATTCATTCTATATAAATGTATTATTTGTTCTTGAGGCTCTCACATCAAATCCGTCCAAAACCTTTGGAAACATTCTGGAGCACTAAAACGACTTCACAGCATTTCACAGCCAATTCGTCCTTGTGCCTGGCAAAGAACTAGAAGCCTTTCAGCTCTGGAAACCTCCCAAAACGCTGCCAGAATCCTTTTCGGCACCCATTTGAGTGCCACTTCAGGAAGTCTCTATGCAGCGCCTCGGGGTGTCGGTGAACTTAAACAACTTCGTGTCCGCGATGGGTTCGTGACGCACCGATGGGACAGGTGTGGCAATCGAAATGGCCGCCAAGGTGTCGATCTCACTCATCAAACAGCTTCGAGCATGCATCTGAGCCTGCCAAAGCCAGCTGGATACAGACTTTCATGAGTTACACGTTCCTCGTGCACATATCATGTGTCCTTTTGCAATGTTTCTTCATAGGGTTTGTGCCTTCTTCAACTAGCTTTCTCACATCTTCTCCAACAAACCCCCCTCGATCACATCTATCATATGCAGCCACCATTTGGTTGGTCGTTGCTCGCGGTCTTTGTGGACCGGGTTCGTTCGGTTCGGTGGGCGCCTGTACATGCGAGCATCAAGGTTTTGGACCTCCTCCTGAAACTCCCAGACTCCTCGATCACACGAAGACGCTGCACCGAGCGAGCTAGCTCGGGACGAGACGCGCTGGTCGAGTCGGAACGGGGAGACCTCTCTGAAAGAGCGTTGGATCGGATCCAGTTGTCGGTTTGAAGAGAGAAAACCTGGAGAGAACCCAGCCCAAACACTCCATGGCACTGCCATGTATGCCTACATTGACCCCCCAAAACCACCCCCCCAATGTAGGCATATATGGCGTACACGGAGTGTCTGGGCAGTGGGTCTTGGATGCTGATCTTGGAACCTGTGGTTTTGATTTAGCTATAGCATCCAAGCCTCATCCAAGCCTCGACAAAAGCAGGACAATCACAGAATCGTTTTGAGATCCAAAGATTGCTTTCCAAGAAATGAAGAGCTCGGACAGGGATCGTCAAAGAACATTCTTGTTACATGTTCGATGTGTTCTCCCTACCTTTTTGCCAAGCTCTGAACTCTGTCCCTGCCAAGATCGAGGCGTCTCCTGGTGAACTTGGATCTCCACAAAGTCCCAAGCTACGTCGAAACTCCAAGCACAGGCGCACAGCGGCCTCACCATGTCACAGCTTTTGAAGCTTCAACATGGCCCTCACCATGCGGACCGCATCAACCGACTGCGCCGTAGGTAGGTCGAATGAGAGTGGCTGGATCCAAATCTCGATTGGGGGGGCCAACTGTTGGCACATCGTCCAACAGAGATTCCCATTTTGTTTCACTCCTTGTGGCGAGACACTGATGGGTGATACAACATCCAGTTTTGATGTACCGGGTGACGTGTTCACGACTGTTCATTTCTTCAGACTATTGTTTGTTCTTTGAAATACACCATTCGCACAGAAAGCAAAGACATCAAACCTATAGATCAACTAACAAACCACCATTTCCCCCAGTACTCCGTGCGTCTGTCCGTGTTTCTTTGTTTCCACACGTCAAAAACAATCAGTGTTCCAACGCTGCGCCGCGCAGTGCATCGTCGCCACGTGTTTCACGCGAGCCTCGATGGATCGTTGTAAAGGACCACCGGGCTCTGGCACCACACTCTCCAGGGTGGCCATACCCACCCGAAGGGCCTCCGTTCTACCGCCGCGGTCGAGCGGTCAGGTTTCCGGCCGGGTTGGGAGAACGGTTTTGTTGGGATCGAACATGGGGCGAAGGGCGAAATCCGTTGTGGGGCAAGCTTCATATCAAAAAGTCTTAGCTTCTTATTCGAATGTCTAGTGGCGGTGCAAGTGCTGAAGAAAGCTTGAAGTCACGAAAAAATGTTGTGAAACAATGTGAAACATGTTTCTTTACGGACCAAGCAAGGTCATTGACAGTCACTTCTGCAAGAACACGGCCCAGAGCAGACGACTTGCACCATGTTGTTCAGGGGTTGTTCTCCATCACTTTTAAATATGTGCGGCGTCAAAACTGCAATTCACCTTCTGGAGCCATAACTCTGCAACCCGAGCTATGGAAACTCCACTCTCTCTGCCTTTTCTCGATTGCTTTTCATCATTTCGTTGGCAAAGGCGTGCGAAAAGCTCCTGGGCACGGCGCGGCAGGCGGCTCAGCGTGCTGGAACACCGAGCAAGACCTGCTCAAAACACCATAAAACTTGGTGAATGGGTGTGACTGGTGAGTGGCCAGGCCACTTGATCCCGATCTTCGAGGACATGCCATGAACAACCTTACAGTGAAGAGGATGAGGGACTGCGTTTAGTGGGCCAGTTTAAGTCTGAGGTTCTGTCCACCCTTGTTCTTGGTTCTTGCAGACTTCTAGGAAATGACAGCAAGAGAACCCAATAGATGATCGAAGAGGAAACATGACTTGAAACAAACATAGTCCATGCAAAAGACTTCTTGAGTTGGGAGAAATCATTTGGCACGTCTGTCCATTGCAGGCAAGGGTCCTGCTCAATCTCGACAGATGTGTGAAAGTGTCTGGAGAAAACTGGGCATCCTGCAGTGAGGGAAGCACTCCAAAGACTCCAATCACTGTCGAATGAATGATAGAAACTCTCACACCATTCACACCGTCAGAAGAGATCACGAAAAGATCACATCAACTCTACGCAACGCTACATCCTGCGAAGGCACTAAGCCCCTTGATGCCTTGCCTCACAAACCGACCGACATCCGACGTCTGCGGTCGAATCATTCACTCTCTCGAGTGTCACAGGTCCGAATTTGCCGTCAGAAGGCGCC